CATACTTGTTTTTCTTTGCTTTCTTTTTTGTTTGTTCTTTGTTTTTTCTCTTGTAACACCCGTCAATGAGAGACAAAATTTCGAAACAAGGGTTGGATTCGCGCCTCTAATAATAAAAAATAGTATTTATTTAGAATAAGAATTAAAAAGTGCTCCAGAACTGGGTTTGGTATTAAGTAAAGGTATTTTTTGCCATTAACAAAAGTTGTTCTTTAGGGATCCGTATTATTCACCGAACAATCACTTCATAGATACCACATTTCACCGACGATTATTCACAGACAACTTCATTTCACCGACAAGTTTTTTTTATAAATCACTACCTTTAACTCTAATTCTAATCTGACCCTAATGATATTGATCAGAATTACTTTGTCTGTAAAATGTGTTTCGGTGAATTAGACTGTCGGTGAAATGAACTTGCCGATAAGTAATGTAGTCTCTACGAAGTGATTGTCGATCGGACCCCGTTCTTTAGATATAACGGTAGTAAATCATTAAACGGTCTAATACTTCACCCGCAATGGCTCTATAAAGTTTTGCAACATTTATTTGCCTTTATTTTCATGAATTTGAAGACAGTTTTACTACCATTAAAATCGTCGAGCAATTTATATTAATGCCAAAATAGGTTTACTTATAATCCCAGTTCCAAATCACTTTATTTTATTTTTACATTTATTTATATAGATGCGCGTTAATTCGGGACGCCCATGGGCGCTAATTTGAAGCTAATATATTATTTTAAGAATATCTAATTTTAAAATTAGCGCCCCTGAGCGTTATTTCGCGCTTTTACGGTATGTAAGCATCTTCATTAACTATATTTCTTGAATAAGAATCCTTAACACTAATTTGGCTTCACAAATTTGGCTTAACAAATCGCTTAAGATAGCTATATTAAATAAATCAAGCCTTGGACCATAATTATTTATAGTGGTCTTTGATAATAGATTTTAAATACAGCATATAAAAAAACTGTTTATTAAATGGTCATAAAGACCTATAATTTTTTTTAAGTTTAGATTTCATTTTCATAAATATTATAAAATATATTTTCAATATATGGATATATTTGATAAACATTGTAATTCATTATATTAATGGTATATAAACATTATAAAAGAAATGAAAATACAAAAGAAATGAAAATACAAAAGAAATAAAATACCAAAAGAAATAAAATACAAAATTCTATGCTAAATTTTATATACAATACATTTTAAGATTGTTCTTTTTTTTTCAATAAATATCGTGCTTATTTTCATATCATAATTTCTCTAGAATTATTGCATAGAGATCAAATTAAATTACTTAATAAATAACTCATAAAAAAACTTAATTATCGTACGTATAAATGTATAGATGTGTAAAAAAATCATATTGGCGTTAATTAAATCTTATGTAATATCTTATAAAATTTGATACGTTAAATTCCTTAAATATTATTTTAAAATGAATTGATAAATTTTTTTTTAAAGAAGATTTTTTCTTATTGAACCCATTGATATTGTAATCACGGGACGTCATATGACGTTGTTTTAAGAGAAAGTTATTAAAAACCCATCTCATAAGAAATTAATGCATCATTTAAATAATCTTGATTTATTGTTGTATCTAATAAGTCAGATGAGAACGATAATTGGTCAGAAATGCATGTATTTTGTATATTAAACATTTCATGTGAATTATGTGAATTTATTTCGGAGGTTTCATTAGAGAGATCGAAAATTCCAAGTCCGTATTGATCATCATAAATATTGGTAGATTGGTCTTCATTAATGTATAAAAAATTATTTGTGATATCATCACTGACTTGTTGATCTGTTTGAATTGGTAAATCAAAGCGTTGAGCAGGAGAAAAATTTTCTAAATCAAATTCAAAATCATCATTTATGCTAGGAGAACTATTGCTGCTGGAAGTTGTTAAATCAGGACTAGGAAAAGTATTTTGACTGTCAAGGATATCGGCCCAATCAGCAAAGAAATCAATATTAAAAATTGATGAATTCATATCGATAACATTTAAATCATTAAACAATTCAGGTGATAATTCGAGTGAAAATTCAGGTGAAAATTCGGTTGAAAATTCAGGTGACAACAAATTTTCATCAAGAATTATTTCAGGGTTAAATGTGGGTGATTCAATTTGATGTTTTGTAGGTTTATTGACTGATCTCATGGGTTTAGTCATTTTAACTTTGCGGATAGAAGATTTATCAAATGAAACAGTTTTCCATTGATCTCTTTTTTTCTGAGGTTTTACTTTAGGAAATAATTCATTGCGATAATCGAATGCCTCTTTTGCAATTCTCTTATATTCATTTTTTACTTCATCAATTTCTTGTTCCCATGATCGAGATGCCATTGAAGAGATGATATTCATTGGCAAGTTATAACCAGTAGCGCGAGCTGTTTCTACAAACAATTTTCGGTAGATAATAAAAGCATTTGGAGGTTTGGGAATGCGACCATCATTATGTGAAATAACCAAATCTCGGGGATTAATTTTTGGCGGAAATGGAAGTTTGATAAGTTGTCGAGGATCGTCGATCACCTGATTTTGGATCATGGGATCGTTTCCGGAATTAATGAAGACGCAAGCATGGGTTGGATTAACCAAGAAGCTGGATTGACATTCGCTCATGTTTAATTTTTTTGCTAGATATAAATAGGCCTTTATGATTTATTTATTTATAGTTTTCTTTTCCCAGTACACTGAACTGAAGATTAGGAATAGTTCAAATCCTGTTATATTTATATTTTTTTTTTAACATCCTAAATTACTGAATTATAACAATCAATTTCACAGTTTAAAAAACTACCAAATATGGGACTCCTGCTGCTTTTAGAATATCGGTTTATTTATAACGTGGCGTCATTTGCATGCTTTGATTGTGCACCCGTAATTATTTTCAATATATATCGCTATTATGCATTATTATATTTCCAAAAATGTTACGTTATGACATTACGTAGCTTTCCCTATTTGTGAAAGTAATACCGACCTCCTCCAAATAGGAAATGTCCAATTGACCAACATATATATTCAAATGTGCGACAAGTAAAATTATGAGAGAAAGTGTTGCTTTAATCGATCTTGAGGCACTAATAAAAAATAACGGAAATGCAATTTTACATATAACAATTAGCTTTTATTTTTTCTATATACATTCTCTAAGACTCTAATCCTAAATTTATTACTTTCACGTGTTTGTATATTGATTCCTTTTAGAGTTTGTATTACTTAAAGCGCAAATATGTTGAGTTATTTGAACATACTGCATATAGATTCCACGCATGATATTACATATAATGCATCATATTACATAACGTACCATATAAATATATTACAAATATAGCATTTTGTTATACTTTGCTGTTAAATTTGGTTTATTTATAGATAATTGCATGGCACTGTCTCAGTAAAGTAAGTCGTGGCTAATATAGTTAGTTTAGATTTACCGTGGCTTAATAGAACAATGAATAAGGTCTAGACCTGTTACTGTACATATCATTGTTATTCGATAGGGCATGCATTCGAATATTTGAAATATTTAAGATTGCTTATAATACGTACGTACGTACTTATAATATTTTATAATATGGGTCCTTTCACAGCAAATCGGGGTTTAGAGATGATCTAACTGAAACTGATGTTTTTATTGGATTGTATTCACAAGTGCATGAGTTATTCGTAGTAAAAATTTTCGCGTATGTTGACATACTATAATTTGGTACAGTTCTATGCGCAGTAATTTTACATACGCTGATTTTCTGCTCTAATTTTAGCTTTAAATCGGCTACTGCTACCACTTTTACTAAAAAAGGTTAAAATTATGTCAATAACGCATATCCGTATAATGTATGTGCATACGTACTAAACTATTTTATATATGAATATCTATATTTATCACAAAAATCAAAATTTGTTGATATTTACAAATCAAAAAATCGTCTCTAAACCCCGATTTGCTGTGAAAGGACCCATATGTAATTAGGGCTATAATACTGTAATTATGAAGATTCATAATGAATATTCATAAAAATCATCTTAGGGGACATCTATAATTTACATTAAACCAGCATTGTTATAGTGATCTTAAAGATAATACAAAAAAAATACTTTATAGAATTATATAGTTAAAAAAAAATAAATTAAATCAAAAAATATAATTAAAAATTTTTAAAAAAAAACAAATAAAAAAAAATTTTAAAAATTTATAATTAGGGAGCTGACAGAAAAGAACTCATATATTTCCCCTCTTTCTACACCTCTACCCTCTCTCTATACTCTCTACACCTTTATACCCCCCTTTACTCTCTATACTTCCTCTTTACCTCTTTACCTCTCTCTTAGAGTAAAAGAGACAAAGAAGGGCAAAGAGAAGTATAGAGAGGTATAAGAGGTAGGGGGTGTAAAAAGAAGGTAGGAGGTGTAAAAAGTGAGAAAGAGGGTGGGGTATATATGAGCTCTTTTCTGTCAGCTTCCTTATTATAAAAAAAAATTAAAAATTAAAAAAATTAAAAAAAATCAAAAAAAAATACAGTAATTAGATTTATTTATTTAACCCAAACTAGATATATAGTAAATAAATGCACAAAAATCAAGCAACTCTTTCTGACAATCACCTGCACCAAAATTTTAAAGAAGGAAAACTCATTCTAAAGACACAAAGACAGTATTCAACATAGTTTTTGGGTTTAATTGAAAGAATAGAATATATAAAGTTACAATAGTATACCAAGTTCTAAAGAAAACAGGCCACAAAATATAGCTCAATTTTAGTTTCTTTGCTTTGGCAATTAATTTTTTTTAAAATTTTGAAAAATTGCTTTAGACCCTGTAGCATAGATCCTTATACATGATAGACATACATAAACAGATAAACAAACAAACAAGGTTTTTGCTAAATTTAGATAGATACAGGTATTGCATAGTGATATAAATAAACAATTTAAACACATAAGCTATAGTAGTGCTTATGTGATAAATGCAGCTTGGATAGCATAAAGTAGAATGAGAAAGAAAATTAGAGATGTACAAACAGAGGAGTTTAATACAATCAAGAATAAATACAAAAATAAAATTCTTAAAAAGAATAGGGAAGTAGTGAAGCTAGCAGAAACAAAGCTATAGCTAATAAGCTTGTTTAAAAATATAATCAAGCTGTATGACTAGTTAGAATTCTTAAGGTTAAAACTCAGAAAAAGATAATCCAATAAAGCCAAAAGAAATACTTAGCACTAGAGAAACATTAAATAAAGAAAAGTATAGCTGTATAGATTATGAAATTGCAGAAAAATTAAAGCTAAATATAAATAAATACAAGCCACTAAAGGAATAAGCGATACTAAACTTAAACACAACTAAAATAAAAGAAAATTCAGTACTAATTTGGAAGCCTAAAGCCAAAACTACAGAAACCTTCAAGTATAAAGATGAAAGAACTAACCCAGTTCAGAATAATAAAAGTTTCACAACAAAAAAGGTAAATGCTACCAACAAGATAAATAAAAACAGTAAAGCAGCAAAAGCAAAGATAAAAGCACTAATACAAGCATGTTTTACAATATGGGATAATCTATTCAAAATAAAGGCTATAAGAATACGAAAGAGTTTTCAGTTTTATGGTCATATAAATTTTAAGTAGTGGGAATTACTTAGTAAAAAGAAGGCAGTATTCTTCAATATAACCTTCTGAAGTGAAAAAAAAAGCATTATTAAAAAAAGCCTAGATAATATATTTTAAGAAAGAGAAAATATTAAGAATCTCGAAAAAAGACTTCATAGGAGATATTATTAAAAACAGAGCAGAGCACAAGGCAATAGTTAAAAATATATCAAAGACAGCTCTGGAGACAATGCTACTAAATTAGCTAAAAGTAGTAAATGCTCAAGCAGTATATATATTTTATAATAGTAATAAAAACCAAAAAAGCATAGTATCAGTATTCTTTAAAACATAAAATCTAGTTGTAGCTTTAGGCAAAGGAGTAAATTATTATAATATAAAATTAGAATGAGTTAAGTTCAAGAGTGCAGAAAAGAAAAAGAACAATATAGTACAAAGTATTAATATAGCAAACCAAGAAGAAAAGCAAATATAAAAGTCAGCAAAGTTAGAAAAAAACTTGTATACTCAAAAAAGAAAAACATAAATAATAATTATAATGAAAAGGAGAACTTAGACTCAAATAAGCAACAGCTCAAGCAAGAGAGTAGTAATAAGGGAAAATGCCCAAAGTCAAATAAGCTTGCAGGGAGAGAACTTACAAAAGATTAAAGATATATTTACAGAGATTTTAGGTAGATTAGAAAAAATTAAATCTCAACAAGAAGTGGAAAGCAAACTTAAAAGAAGATGCTCCTTTGCTAAATGCTTCTAAAAGTTGCTACAGGCACTTTGAGAGAAAAAGGTGGTAAAGCTACTATGCAGAAGGTTGAGATAGATAAGGCGAGAGATAAAATAGTAACAGTAGGGTACATAATATAAATAAGATCAAAATGAACAAGTGCAAACTAGATAGTATAGTAGATTTTGCAAAAAAAAAAGAATAGACATTTTGGTTTATGTGAAACTAATATATAGGATAAAAAGAGTATTTGGTTAGAAAGTAAAAAAAATTAGCATTTAAGCTTCTGTGCACTAGCAGCAGAAGAGAAGTAAAAGAGCTCAGAGTGGCACTTCTAGTTTATAAAAGCATTGAAAAATATTTAGCAAAGTATTAAAGTAGTTACTATATATAATAGAAGCTATATTTATTTTTAAAGAAGAAGTATAGATAATTATTGTGACTTATATTCTGTCTAATAATAAAGAGCTCAAAAAGAAGATCTGCCAAAAGGTTCTTAAATGAGTCAATTAAAGGTTTCAGAACAAAGAAAATATATAGTAATGGGAACGTTAATATAGAGTTGAAAAAAATAAATCATGGCAGTACAAGCAAGTTCTTAGCTATTAACAGAAAAGCTCTTATTTGGAACCTTATAAATAGAGAGTTTAAAAATACTTTGATAAGGCAAAAGACAGCACAAACATAACTACTAGAAGAGATGCAGAAAAAAACACAACAAAAGACTATATTTGGATCTCTAGTAACTGGTTTGATGATGTAAGAAAATGCAAAGTTAAGGATATGAACCTAGTAACTGAAAGTAATTATTATATAATTATGATATAGTTAAAGAGAATAAATCATAAGAGAATACAAAAAAAAGCTTAGAAGAAAAAAGTATAAACAAAAAAGATTTGTATAGATACCAAAAATATTGAGCAATAAGACTGAGAAAACTTTGTAAAAAAGACAAAAACAATTAGAAAGAAAGTCTGGAAAAATCCATCAACAAGTAAAGAGAAGAGGAAAATTAAGAAGTGCTAGGTAGAGAGTAAGATATTATTGAAAAAACAATAAATATAGATGCTATTAAAGCACACTTTAAGATTAGACCCATGGCAGAAAAATATAAAGAAAACAACACAGCACCTCTAACAAATTAAGAAAAATATCTAGCAAATTAAATAAATTGTACAAAAAAGCCAAAAAAAATATCAAAAAAGTAATAACTGATGATTTGGTTATAGCTTTAAAAAAGCTAAACATAGACATCAAGACTAAACTAAAAGAAAGCCTAATTACTTGAGG